TATGGATCTATAAATGACCTAGTAGACCCGCAGTCGCTCAAAAGCTTTATGTCATATTCGGGAAAAGCTATATAGCTCAATCCTTTTGTGTTACTAGCATTGAACAATATAATTTCACTGATTCTGTCTGTTGAGTAACCTGGCTGGCTGGGAGAAAAAATTTATTTTTGGGTTAGGGACATCATAGAATTCATCGTAATTATTTTCGACGTTAGTATGCAGAACTACCTGTATCATAAGTTTCATATGTTGCGTTATCATTTAACTCAGTATTATACAATTCCTTAAAGATAAAATTTTGCTGAGGTCGAGGTGTGTTCGTCGGAATTGGAGCTAATGATGGACGTGTTGTGTCTCTTGTGCTGACACTCATCGGTGTTGGCCTGGGAAGATTCCTTAGATTTGAAGAGTTTGGCTTAAAACGTTTGTATTCGAATTCTTTGCTTGTTGGTTGCCAAAGACTTCAGCGTTAGTCTTAGTTCAGATGACGCGCGTACGGCTAACGCTCGCTTTGAAAATACATAGAATTAAAACTAGCTGTTCACATGGACTCGCGCATGAGAAATTTTACGCGTGTACGATGCCACAAGACGCGGAGAATCTAAATACGTGCGTCGATGTTGATTGATTGAAATACTAGACGTTCAGTTGGCGCGCGAGTTTCTTAGCATCCAGGCGACATACCAGGTGTATCTTGCAAGAAAATAATTCCTTAGGTATGGTAGTTAGTAGAATGGAAGTATGATAATTCAGCACCGACCTTTTCATTGGTGAAATTAAAAAGAGGCCAGCCATTTGGGACATGCGTTCCACATTATACTCAAATAAGACGGCATAAAGAAGCGCCTTGGAGGCCATAATTTTTTGCAAATCCGATGACACCGAAGAAAAAACGAAAATATTAGGTACGCTTGTTCGTAATGCTTTATTTATCATTGATGTTTACAATAAAGACAACAATTTAGATAATTCTATCCTTCAATTCAAGTTTCCCTTCATTCACAAAGTACTTCGTCAATTTTACTCGAACCCTATCGCCATCCTTTATATTACGACCACTATGTTTACCGATTTAATGTTGTCAGTAGCGCTGTGTTTAGTATATCTTCAAAATTATATCCATCATTAATTCGTACGCAATTTTGTAAATACAATACTCCCTGCGAATTCTATGTTGACATCCAGCGGCCGGTGTAATACTCGCCATTTGTTACACGCAATACCAAACGTGCATTCAACATAGCTCAGTGTAACACTGAGTTTTTCTTCTGGTGAAATGCAATACCTTACTGCATTTGCATCTTCTACAATATCATCCTTAATGATGAACAGTAAATTATCAAACGATTTTATTAACATCCTAAAGTAATTGAAAAATTTAGGATTCATCGAACAGAGTCATCTCAAACGAGTCGCAACCACAGGCCGGCCGTCGAGAAAGAATCAACACAACGATCCAGGCTTAAAAAGGATCCTGGAGTGGAGACAAATAGGCTATAGAGCAAGTCGGCATAAAGTTACACCACCGGCATAGAGCTTGCATATAACTCTTAGGTGTTGACCTAAGAAGGACTAAGGAGAATACTTAAGAATGAAGATTTAACGAACAGCAGAATGTAGTTGGTGCTGCTTGAAGTTTTCCAGTGTTTTCATAATTCTTTTTCTTATTGGGCGAACCACTCAGAAGGAGTTACGGAGTAACACCGTAAATCTGCTACTTGCTTCTCAGATAAAAAACCATGTAATAGGGAAATAGGGGGAGCCAAGAACATCGATGAGGTTATACAACGTAGACCGTCAATTTGCTGGAGTTGATGCTATTATAACAGATCGAAAATAAAATGCGGCTTGATAGCTATGCACTAGTTCATCAAGGCGCTGAGGTTTCATCATTCCTGATCAAGAAGCTTCTGCAGTTGCAGATGTTTTGGTGAAAGATTAAGGGTATTCAAGTAACTTGAACCTTCGCTGCCTGCAGGCCTTCTGGGCAGACCACCAACGCATTGAGACAATTCACTTGGCTCCTGACGATACTCTCAGATTATCATGATAATTACTCGTTGCCTATTATATAGGCTTTTCATCATCAACAAAATAGCTCAGCGGGTGGGAATAGTAGGTATAGTCTCATGCACCTTATAGAAACGTTCAACTTGCGATATGGGAAACTATGTATCAAGCACAACAAATCTTGTTTTGCTAAATTCCGTAAAATCATGGGACGTTTAAGCTGCTCCCTTAATTACAGTACAGTACAGGAAGTCAAGTCCTAGGTTGAATATGTTCATTAGACAGTCATCATCAGACCAATGTTTCCTGTGAAACACTGGTGATAACATATTGTATATTTGAGGCGTCATTTCATATTCGCTAGTACTTATTCAAAATATCTATAACATAAAACTGAGGATTTCATGATTAAAATATATCTGACCGCAAAGTCTTAAGGCGGTCCAGGGCAGCAGCGGTTTGATGCTGTATCGCATTAAGCTTGGAATAACTTTGACAATTTTAGTTTCTGGAACGTTTGTCAAACTGTCTCATTCGAAGGACACTGCTATACAGCATAAAAGCGCTGCAACACTCGTCCGCCTTAAAGTACACGCCCATTGAGAGGAAGGGAAGCGGAAAGAAGAGGAACCGAAATACTCCCACGGGATTCCTTTACACACAATCAAATAACAGTCCACGCACTAGAGCAACCGCACGGCACGGGTATCACGTATCGTGAAAAGTGTCATTACGCCGATTGTTTTGACATTATGTAGGTTTTTCTACAAGATGTTAACTTGGCACTAGCTGATGGATACTTTGTGAACTCGTTTTGTAGTTGTACGTGTTGCCTAAACGTCACGAGGCTTCAGTTATCAATGTTTGGCTCTAATGTAATGTAAAATCTGCTTCAAAGATGGCATTACTGGAGGTCTAAGCTGAGGCACAGTGAGGATTTGCGTGCTAATAATGTGTGTTGATGATAATTCCATTGGATTCTTGTCTCAAATACACTTACTTGAGATTCAAGGCCAGAAATTAGTTGCGGATCCACTTTTTCTTATACATTGATATGCACATTTGCTGAATTTCGAAAATGAGAGAGATGAGAAATAATTATATTCACTGTACACTGTCGAATTACAAGCCATATACATGCTAAAAGTAATTACACGCAACGCGGGCGCGGTGATCATTTCCCGTAATTCTCCTCAGTTTATCGTAATTTATAACTTTGAACATAACCTCTCTCCAGACGGCACAACATAAAAATAACCCATCGGGCACAGCCAATAGATATACTTCATTGGCAGCATATTCAGTAATGATTTTCTTATACAGCAAATATCACTGATTTTATTCACATGCAGATCAACACACATAATCACCCAGATGCGATCTTGCTATTCAACCAACTTCCTTCTCAGAGATAAAAACTACAGATCACACGGCTTCACAAGACATATGCAACCAACAATGCGTGTCGCTTAGTTGTGTCGTTCCTCCATAGATGGACGTTCACAACGATCCTAGTGAGCAAACATGGAATGACTGTTTGCGCCCTAAAAACTGCCTAGTCTGCAAGATAACATCTGATAGGCTTTTTTTGACGTTTTATAGGTTTTTTACATAATACCCGTACCGAACGGGATGCGATATAACACGCATGATGCGTGCAAATGACCTGAATGCAATCATAAAGTCTGGGCGGGCATGGAAGTTGACACAGATGAAGGTCGTAACTTTGAAAGCGCATTCTCCCATCTATTATGAACACATAAAGATACTGCAGTGCAAAAGCTCTGCTTCGGATTTTTCATATCTAATCCCAGCAATCTATGTGATAAAGGAAGGCTGGAAATATAAACGCTTATGATGCTTCTCATTGTGGCGACTGGAGTTTGCCCCCTCATAAATCCACGGGATTTATTGAATTTTGTGAGACTGGTTTGGTCTCTTCTATGGTATTCAATTTGCATAACTGCTCCATATTCTAGGATTACAACATGCATGAAACCTGTTTCTCATCAGACTATTTCTGGACTAACGCCATACCATTATAGATCTCGACATGCATATCGTGATTATAGCTAAAGGGGTGGCATATAAATATGTTTATAATGATTAAATTTTAGTGACGTTTCTAAAATTATCCAAAGGAGTATATTTCCGAACTCTTCAAACATTGCCAATATAGTAATCAATAATTTGTACTTTGTTCTACCAAGTTTCAAATAACCTCAACCGCTACCCTGCTGTAAGCTTGAAAATCACAAGGTATGAGCGCTTATTTAAAACACATTTTTTATATTTCCTTCTTGTCCAATAGAAACCAAAATCACAAGTTCTAACTACTGATCAAACAAGGTATATGTGATATCAGGAGCGATTTCGCAATACATAAATGACCGGTTGAACTCACTCCACAAATGTTTGATGTAAGTCAGCAGTTGATTCCTGGTATTGGAAACTATACTGTTTGTTGATATCAAGCGTTAACTTTACTAATTACAGACAGCAGAGACAATTGTTGTATCTGTCTGATCTCAAAAAATTTTGGGATATTGAGCCGTATTCATAAAACAAAGAATATCCGTGTATATACTTGCAAAATTTGAAGGAAATCCTCCAGATGGTATTTATAATAATTTGAAGTAAATACTTCTGCTTTTTGAGTATAAGCATATCCTTCAAAGCAGTGACATAAGTAAAAGGATATTCATAATATTCACCTTTTACTTGGCAGAGGAAGCATATATCCTTCAAAAATTCTGAGTGTGGTCAGTAGCAAATTCAACATCATAACGAAAGGTGGTCAAACAATGATGACGGAAATTGTGGATGTTATGGATTTTAAAACGTACAAACTTCGTTTACCTTCAATTGGGCGTGACTTCAAAAAATTATATCAGTTCGACGAAGCAACTGTACAATTGCTTGCGGACAGGTTTTTAGTTGAGAATGAGGGAACTTGAGGAGGAGCACTTTCATGTATTCATAAAATGAAGATATCTCGGTGACCCTGGATATCAACAAGGTATTGGTCCGGAACATGGTGTTAGTCAAGCAACAGCACAGTCGAACGAATGGATAAAGTTTCCAACTACCAACCATGAACTGATGGAGGCCAAGCGGGTATGGCAAAGCATGTATAAATGTCCAACAGCAATTGGTGTAACTGATTGTACACATATAGGAATCCTGAAAGCAAATAGCCATGGAGATGAGTATATCCACCGAAAAGGGAAACCTACTTTAAATGTGCAAGCTACTTGTGATGCCAGAGAGATGTTCACAAGTGTTGATGTCAGTTGGCCTTTATCAGGGCATGATTTCAGAATATGGAGATATTCACAGACTAGATCACAACTAATAAATAAAGCAAATGTACTACTTGGCGATGACGGTCATGGTACTGAGCCATGCCTTATGACTCCCTTCAGAAATCCTACTCCAGGTGCAGGAGTAAATTATAATAAAACAAGAAAGAAGTTATAATTGAACGCTGTTTCGGCCAACTCCAACTAAAACGCCGGTTTCCTATCCTACAGTATGTTTGCCGCGTAAGTTGGAAAATGTGCTGAAAATAATTATTGCTTATTTTGTTCTCCGTAATGTTGCAAAGAGCTTGGGCGATCCTGACTTTGAGTAAGTTGAACAAGACCCAGATGAAGATGCAGGAAATCATGAGAATGACGAACTTCCTCTCCGCCAACTAGGTCAACAAATAAGAAGAAACTTGAGTATTATAATAAATAGTTTTACTGATTAAAGTATATTTATCAATTATAATAAGTTTTACGAGATCATAAGTTACATGTGGCTGACATGTCCTGACTTATTCCAGCTTGTGGTTGACATGGGATTTCGTTCACTCAGCATCACTGACAGTTGTACTCCAGAACTTACACAGACCGTTCCGTATTTTTACTGGATACAGTTTTTTATCAAGTTAATAAGCATGTCATCCTCAAGTGATGAGGAAACTATAGAAAGTAATGGCAACCACCTGCAGTTCATCGCAGATGAAATTGCCATTGCTCCCATTATTTTGCAAGAGTCACAAGTTCCAAAAATAGAAATGAGAAAGACCGATGCCTTGAAGAAGATGTTGAAAAAATACAAATCAACATTCGGTAAACCATTAGATACTAAAGGTTTATTAAAAAATCAACAACATGAAATCAAGATTGAAGAAAAAAACAGATCTAAAGAAAACTGGTAATAAAGCAATTAAATTGTTATATTGGGAAAAAAAGTTGCTGAAAGCTATGGAAGGTGAGTGTAATCCTACAATTGGGAAAATTAGAGGTGCCATTCAGGTTGGTAGCGTTCAAGAAGAATGAAGTGAACTATATACCGAGCGCAGTGAGCAAACAGCAAACAGCGCCAGCAATTCAGAAGACATTGCCACCAAAAAGAAAATTAGCAACAAAGAATTACGAAACTGGAGAAACCAAAGGGTTAACTACAAAACAATTGCAACATCTAGTGGTACTACAGCAGTACCAAAGAAGTATTTTACAACAAGAGTATTATAAAACGAAATTAGAAATGATGCAGCGTCAGAAGCCACCTGTAACTTATGATGTTCACGAAATTAAAACTTATTATAACTTATAAATACATTTTAATCAGTAAAACTATTTATTATAATACTCAAGTTTCTTCTTATTTGTTGACCTAGTTGGCGGAGAGGAAGTTCGTCATTCTCATGATTTCCTGCATCTTCATCTGGGTCTTGTTCAACTTACTCAAAGTCAGGATCGCCCAAGCTCTTCGCAACATTACGGAGAACAAAACAAGCAATAATTATTTTCAGCACATTTTCCAACTTACGCGGCAAACATACTGTAGGATAGGAAACCGGCGTTTCAGTTGGAGTTGGCCGAAACAGCGTTCAATTATAACTTCTTTCTTGTTTTATTATAATTTACTCCTGCACCTGGAGTAGGATTTCTGAAGGGAGTCATAAGGCATGGCTCAGTACCATGACCATAATCGCCAAGTAGTACAACATTTGCTTTATTTATTAGTTGTGATCTAGTCTGTCTCCATATTCTGGAATCATGCACTAATCCAGGCCAACTGACATCAACACTCTTGTGAACATCTATGTGGCATCACAAGGGGGTTGCACATTCAAAGTAGATTTCTCTTTTCGGTTGGTACACTCATCTCCATGGCGATTTGGTTTCAGGATTCCTATATGTGTACAATCAATTACGCCAATTGCTGTCGGAAATTTATACATGCTTTGCCATATCCGCTTGGCCTCCATCAGTTCATGGATGGCAGTTGGAAACTTGATCCATTCGTTCGACTGTGCAACTATGCTGTTCACAACCCTATCCACAGTCCGAGATACCGTTGCTTGACTAACACTAATTTCCTGGCCAATACCTTGTTGATATCCAGGGTAATATACTTTTACATATGTCACTGCTTTGAAGGATATGCTTATACTCAAAAAGCAAAAGTATTTACTTCAAATTATTACAAATACCATCTGGAGGATTTCCTTCAAAATTTGCAAGTACCAGAATACCCTTTGTTTTATGAATACAACTCATTATGTTTTCGGATGTACAAGAAATACACATCGCAGAAATCCATGCGACTCATTTCCGTCAGTCTGTCTGTCGATGAAACCTTTCAGGCTTACTACTATAACTTCGGCAGAGCTATGAGCAAAAAACGAAAAAATATGAATCGCGTCAACTTCGTTTTTTGACGTTTTAGATACTCCTAATCATTTTCACACAAGTTTTTTGTTGCGGTTGAAAATTCGGGGGGGGGTGTAGGAGATAGGGGGCTGTAAATATTGCATCTTTGGAGTCAGAGAAAGATGCTTTGTTAATAAGAAGCCCCTGATCCCGGTAATAACAAAAAATTTTAATGGCAAAGATCAAACAAATAGTGTGTTCACATTTTGAAATAACGCACGACGGAACCCTCGACGCGGATCGAAGGCGGCATGCAAACCGGTACCTGCGTCATAATTTCACATGAAAAGAATAGCAGGTAACCAAATTCTGACATACGAAAAATTAAACACGGCCATCTGCCAAGTGGAAGCATACTTAAATTCAAGATCGGTATGTCAAGTTTCTAATGATTCAGACGATTTAAGCCCTTTGACCTCTAACCTAAAGGATCTAAACATTTGGATGCTAACTAGATATCAGCTGAGAGTCAGAATTGTTCAAGATTTCTGGGCCCGATCTAGTAAAGTATATTTTAAATGCGCAGTGAACATGCTGTGTCCGCTACCTATCGAACAGAGAACAAGTTTGCATGTTTGTGTTATATAAACAATACTTGTGTGATACTTTGAACTTTGCAAAAGCTGATAGCTTCAAGATATGTGACAATCGAGAACCATTTGGATGTTGGAAATCGTAGTGACTCTCACGTGCGTGATAACGAGAAGGAGTATCTTCAGGTAGAGTGACGCAGTCAAACAAAATTTGGTACATGTTCAAAATCTTAACTCTAACAGGACATTTTTTGTTTATTTCCAAATGTGAAAGAAACTGAGACACATAATATGAAAACGAAGTTTGTAAACGATTTGATGCCGATGTGTGTTCTCTGCTTATTACTGATCCACCAACGAAGAAGAATCAGCTTACTTATCAGCTTATTTTAATAAAACCGGTATATGGGTTTCTAACATTCCATGTTCACAAGAATACCAAGAGACCGACAGGCAGACGTAAAATGACAAGGCTACGGAACTGAGTGGCATATACTTATGTGATGAAATGAAATTTTGACACAGACGGCTACTATGCTAAGAACGAGAAAGCTTTGTAGGACTTAAAAATTAATTCAGTGGCGACGAAACTAGAGGAAAACCTAAATCGCTTAAACATTGTGTTTCCAGCGACATGTTATGTAGGGTTTGAAAATTGCGGGTTATTTGGTGTTGTATGGTGTATGGTTGCAAATGTTGTATTTTTGGTATCAGTGTAAAACGTAATACAACTAAGCCTACTTCCTACTGGATATTCTCTCCTTTTCAAGAAATGATCTAGCATGCCAGCGGGGAAGAAGCCCTCCCCCTTCAATTTGCTTGGTCAAATCAATTGCGGTTGCATTGCGACATTTCCTTGTACTTGTACTGGCCCTTGACTATAAAACTATTAAATTGTTGAAAATTTTCAATTTTGAAAAATACTATGAAAGCACGTTGGCACTAAAAACACTAAAATCTTGAGACGAATCATTTGAAGTCAACAATGCCTACTGCATTCACCCGGACGTAATGTCGGTCTGCTTTAAAACACGTTATCCTAGGTTTAGATGCATTCCACGTTTACTGACGTACTTTGAAGGTGTACTGCGTATCTCACATGATATTAGCTATATTTAGCCGATCGGCAGTAAAAGAAGAACCGTTAGTTTATAATCTGTATTTGCGATAAATCATCATCGGCGTCGGCGAACATGATCGCAACGATCAGAGAAATATCCCAGGAATTCCTCCTCCGAAATAACATGTGCCGTGGCTTGATAGCAGGATACACCCGCATACTACCTGCCATACATACACACAAGTATTTATAGACTGCTTATGGATTTTATAATAAATTGGCGGTTAATACAAAAATAATGTTAAACAGGTTCCAACCACCCTAAAGATATGATTTTATTGAACTGAGACATTGTCAAAAAATACCACAACCCCAAATATAATCACCCACTAGCATTGGAAATAGACAACAATCCGGAACTATCAAGCTTTATCTGTCTAAATAATAAAAGTACATCGTCTTTTCTTTACTGCTGACTAATAATAGTATGTGGTTTAAAAGCTACCCTTCTCATTTCGAAGCTTTAAAATCATATACAAATGTTATGCTTCCTTACTATCACACTAAAATAGTGTGAAGTTCATTTGGTCTTGTCAGTTTCACCAAACAAGATGTATGTTATTTGATAATGATATGATGAATAGTTAAAGATTAGACATATTTCCTCTATTAACCGTACTACATGTATACGACAAGACACCATCATTGACAATCAACTGCTACGACTCATTAAGGCATTCAATACAGTTTCTCAAAATTGTGAACGTAACTCGATAAAATCAAACGTCTAAGAAAGGGAATCAAGCTTTTAGTGGCACAACGGGTCAATTCTGGAGCTTAATAGGCCGGGGAATAATCACAAATTCAAACAGCTGTTGACATTTATCAAACAAGTTTGTAAATGCGTCTCTTTCCGGCAAAGTAATATGTTCCTAGGTTCGTCATGTCATTAAACGTTACATCCCAAAATTAACCTCGTCTTTAGTGATGAGACTGTTGAACGGCGAGATTTCCGTACCTTTTCTCCCAAGACTGACTTGGGAGCGACTTTTCTATCAGAGTTCAGGAATGCATTTTTCCAAGTGGCAAGAGAACCATGTCTGCTTTCTATCGGTCATTCAATTCTCTAGCTTCAATAGTAGTTGT